AGCAGTTTTAAGATTGGATTCTTTTCTTTTGTGAATATTGTTTAAAATGTAATAAGATTCTTTTCCTATTGGGCTGCTGAAGTGTGTGTCCTGGGAGTAAAGGACAAAGATGGAGAGAAGCACAGATTCACTCTGTATGACTTGAATCACCTTTCTAAACACAAATCAGATTTGTAGGCTCATCACTTCTCTTGGTGGGAAGCAATATGCTAAAAATGAAACCATATACTCAAGTGAGACAGAAGGGAGTTTCTCAGATCAAACAAGATTGGCAGAGAAGATTTGCTTCTCAGAATCTGGACAAAAGCAACAAGCAAAATCATCACAGCTTCCCCCTAAACTTAATAAGCTTCTTTCATTCTCCAGAGAACATAAGACATCCTATTCTATTTGTTATTTCTATCTGTAAATGAAAAACTATTTTTGTATTTTTGATCTCACTCATGGAAATGTGGCAACATTGCTCCTGAATCTCTGCTGATGTTTCCAACCAATTTATTTAGAATCAGATTGAATTTGTAAAGGAAAAAGTATTTTAAGGCCCTTAACGTCTATGCAAATAAAACACATTTTCCATATAGGCTGATGCTACTATAATGAGTAGCTAAAGCAAAAATAAGGAAAAACCAGAAAGAAAAGGATAAAAACATGCAGAATGACAAAGAGTCTACAGCTAGAAGACTACATATGGAACAAACCTAATTCTTACCCCACTATTAAAGTCTTCTGTAAATTAGTTACCTGTTTTCTTTTAATTTTTCTCCTCCTTTCCTATCCTATAGATTGTTAATACCATTTCTGGGTTTAAGGCAATATAGTAGAAATTATCACATTTGGTGAAATATTTGATAAGACAGTTATGTTTTAAGTGCATTATGTTGGCAATTTTTCATAGTCAAAGCACAAGGTACTAACATCACTCAAAATTTGAAATTCTGCACAGTTTTAGGTATAACTTAGGTATATGATTTTATAAATAGAATGATTACTTTAAAAAATC